GTGGGAATATGGTTTCCTGTTATTTAATCCCATTATTCCATATCCACTGCTCCAGGGAGACTGAACAACCTAAGCCTACTTTTGTGTGATGCATCCTTTCAGATGCTATATCTGAAAAGCAAGAGTCAGGCTGGTGTAGTGGTTAAGGTGTTGGACTCGTACCAGGGAGACACAGATGCTAGTCTCCCCTTAACCATGGAAACTTCCTGGATGACTTTGGGCCAGTCATTTATTCTGTCAGCCCACACTATTCCATAGGGTTATTTTTTGGAAAAAAAAATGGTAGAAGGGAGTGCTACACACAGTATGCTCTCTTAAGCTTCTGAAGAAAAGGTGGAATAGAAATCTACCAAATTAATGAAGAAAGAAACTTCTCAGTCTTTACCTCTCAGGACCACACATTCCCAGTTCTTTCAATTTCCCTTAATAGGGCTTAGTTCCTAGTCCCTTTATCATCCACGTTGTTGTTCTTTGAACCTATTTTTGTGTCCGTATTCTTCTAAAGTGGGGTACCTGCCCAGAACTGTACATAATGCTTGAGGTGTGGGTGTAACCAAATCAGAAACAACTGGAATTATTACTTCCCTTGATTTGGAAATGCTATTTTTGTTGATGCAGCCTAAGACTGCATTTACTTTTTTAGCAGCTATATCACTTTGCTGATTCATTTTCAGGTTGTAATCAACTACTATTGCAAGATTCCTTTCACAAGTATTATTGTCAAGCCAGGGATCCCCCATCTGATACCTGTGCATTTCATTTCTGTTTCTTAAGCAATGAACTCTGCATTAATCTCTTCTAAATTTTATTCTGCTATTTTCAGCCCACTCCTCTAAACTATTAAGATTGTTTCAAATGTTTTTCTTCTAGGGTATTAACTTCACATCCACTGTTTTGGAATGCCTGGGGGCTTTAAAGAAACATCTACATTAGGGTCAATTAGGGATGTATGACTTAGAAGAAATCACCTTCATTTTACTATTTACTTTGGGGGAGGCATATATTTGGTCAGTTTTGTTATTAAAAAACTAGAAAAATTGGTTCAACTGTATTTTAAAACATTAGATTTCCACTATTTACTATAGGAGATGTCCAGGATTCCCCCCCCCCCCTTTTTTTTTCCTTTATTTATTTTATTACCCCCCCTTTCTCTTTTATTAAAAAAAAACTCCCACAC